TATTTTTTTAAACCCTAACCTAATATCATTCGACCAAGTTAATTCACTGTAATTTCTCCGCCTAAAAAATCCAACTTGGAATTCTTATTGCAAGGAGTGTTGATGAGGCCTATGGGCGACTAGCTCCAACGCCGATCATAGCTCGACTCTCCAAGTAACCTCTTCGTTAGGAGAATTCGAGTTAACGGGATGCTATTGCCGTGCTGGATGCTCTTGCTGCACTGTTTCCCTGTTGCAGTCTGTCGGCGCCTTTGTTTGCATTAATGTTTAGCCTTCTATCAAGAAGGGTTCGGTAACACCGCACTGCTGCCCTTATCTACGTCTCAACCTGACTAACTTCTAGAAAAAAAAAAGACAATTACTCTGAATAGCCAATCTAGATCTGTGCAGCACGGTTTACAACACTACTAGGATGCATTGATCGATGCTACGTGCAATTGGCAATCACTACTTACATAATATATTGACTCTACACGATTCTTGCTGCCCAAATCGGGTCACCCTACTAAGTGCTGAACATTCAAATTTAGCTAGACTCCAGCATTGGTTTCATCAATACAGCCGACTACTTCCATTCCTGCAATTCTTGCACATTCGTAATCCTGAAATCACGATCAGACATTGGTTCGCCTGCTTGATAAGGTTGTAGCATTCAAATCACATTCGCATCCTTCTTCTCTGTAGGAACTATTCCAGCCATCGACTCGCAAGAAAAGAATTACAACGTAAGGGCTCTTTCGTTGACCTGCTTTTAACATTCAATAACCTCACCCTTTTGCAGGTCTTGAGCCAGATTCAACCACTTCAACCAATCTTGTTGAGAAACAGCACTACATGATTGTGCCGAGTAAACTTGACCAGTCCCTTCCCTTCATTTTCTTTTCGCTTTTCTTTCTTTTCTTTTCTTTTTATCTCTTTTGTTTTTTTGTTTTACTTTTTTGTTTTACTTTTTTCTGCTTTTCTTTTCTGCTGTTTTCTTCCATTTCTTTTTTTCTTTTTGAATGGACTAGATCAAGGTTACTTTTAGCTCCTAGCCCAATTAAACTTTCAATGATAATAAAACTACTATTAAAATTTTCTAAATCTATATTAGCTAAATTAAGAAGAAAATATATATTTTAAAATTCCTTCTCAATGAAAACTCTACAAGAGATCTAGTCTTGCATTGAAATCCTATTTTTTGCTATTTATCTCAAAACTCTTACATTAATTTGGTGATTTTAAGCATTGTAAGTGTGTTCTTTGTACTAACATACAATAATGAATCAATTTTGTGACTCACAACAACCTCAATTCTATGCTAGCAATAAGATATGGTTACTTCATCATAATATCAAGACTATTTGCTCTTGTAACAAGTTGGATTATTGTAGATTTAGACCATTTCTTATTTGTAAACTAATCAATTTAGTTGCTTATTGGTTGCACCTATTGGAGTCTAGAAAGATCCATCTTGTATTCTATATGTCTCTTCTTAAGCCATATAAGATGACAAATACCACCTCCTCATGTAAAAGTGGACAATAATCAAGAATTGGAGCTTGAAGAAGTCTTAGATTTATGGTTGCGCCAAAATAGGTTAGAATATCTTGTTCATTGGTGTAGATATGATATTAGTGAATAGACATGGGAGCTAACCAAGAATTTTCTAAATACAGCAAAGAAGGTTGATATTTTTTATCAATGATATCTATCAAAATCAAGATGAAGAATAAAAAATCTTTACTATAAAAGAAATACAGTTTAGCAAAGATTACATTCTACTTTCTAACTTTATTTGTAATTTCTATATATTTGTGGTGCTAAGGAAATACAAAACCAACCATTAGTAGATTCAATTTAAGAACTATTATTTCTTGAGTTATTTGATGAAACATTGCAACTATGACAACCTTTAAAACAATACAATAGAGATGAATCTCTTCAAGAATAACATATTCTTCCTCAAATAAATGGTAAAATATAATGTGTTAAATATCACGACCTTAAAAGATACTATTGATGCTTCATGATATTATTGGAGGTAGAAACCATTCTCAACACTGTTCTAAATGTTATATTTAAAGGGAGTTACAAAGGCTTCAACAATGATCAAATAACAAGGTGATCTTTCTGCCTTGATATGAAACACTATCAATGGCTAAGAGGACCTATCAACCACCTTCAAAGGGAACAAAGATCAAAGTATGTAGCAAATATAATTTGCCCCATCTTAGACTTCTTCAACATATGATTGTCACTCCATATAAAAATTGTTCTTAGATAGAAGGATAATGTCAATGTTATACATATTTACTTAGATAAAAAGTGTTAAATAGATAGTAAATAGAGATAGATTTGATATTATCTTATAACAAAGTTTTTTAAGAGCTGCATAGACATGTATTTGACTTTAAATATATTTATAATTGATTGATAGGCTAGAAACTTAGCCAAAAAATTAGCCACATATTACATGTATTAATATCTTATAGAATGAACTAATTATGTGGCACATATATTAAAAAACTTATCTTGTAAGTTAGACACATGTTGGAGATCTTATTAAACATTGTTATATAGTTCCTAATTAGATAGTATATATGGAGACAAGAGTGGAGCCTTCTTCATTCTTATCAATGCCTTTCTTATTTTTAATCTTATTTCAAAAGACTTTAGTTTTATTGTCTTTACCAATAGGAAATCTAGCTTAATATTATACCTTCTTTTAATGATTATTTAGACTTTTTGAGTAGCTCAGGAGTGTATTGATCTTTTGGATCTTTGAAATTCATGTTCTTGACAAAAAGTTAATTAATACCCTAGAGTATTAAGATTTTTTTTTTTTTTTTTTTTTTTTTTCAAAATTTGTGTGCTTGTTTTTTGTTCAAAGATTGAAATATAAAAAATAAGCTAGTTGAAATCAATCAATTTATTTAATAATTATTTGGATTTTAAAATTACTATAGAAATTTTGTTAGGATTTTATTAGGATTTATTTAAGTTTTTATAGAATTTTATTAAGATTTATTTAGTTTTTTAAATATTTATTTAAAATATTTTGTTGAATATTTTTATTAAGATCTTTAAAAATTAATTAAGCTTTAATTATAATTACTAAGATTTTATTAGATTTATTATTGTTTTTAAATATCCTTTATTTGTATGAAAAATCTACTAATAGTAAAAGAATTGTCTAATTTTTTTAATAGTAATTGATAGTACATCACAGATACTATTTTAATATTTAATTTACATATTTTATTTGTCCATCAATTTAAGGATAAAAATCTAAGATAGCTTGATATCAATTAGTAATATATTATAGAGTGTTCTTCAAAATCTTGATATAAATTGAGGCATGCAATCAAATATTATGTCATTTGGAAGTCAATAATATTAAGAAATGTTGTTTTAAAAGAATTTAATTGTTTCTTCATGGACAAATTTTCTTTATCACAATACAAAATGTGTCATTTTGGTAAAACAATCTTCCATCATATAGATTTTGTACTCTAACAAATGCAGTGAATATTTCTTTGTCACCATCAAGCGAATGATAATCTACATCTACATGCTTGACTAGCTCTAGATTCTGTCACTCATCCACGTTTTAATTCCTTCAATTTCCCTCACTTGACATACCGGACACAAATTTCTCCCGTACTAATCTGGAGTTTGAGATTCAATTTGTGGTTATAATATGTTGTGGATTTAGCATATGTAATTCGCAGGTGAAGCACGCCATGGACATCCTGAGAGTCTCTATCTTATCGAGGATTATGCAGAGAACGACTCTCTCAGTGATTGTCTTCGTCACCTGATTGCTTTTCCAACCTCCAGCTTATCACGGACTTTTGTATTGCTGTGTTGGAACCAACGAAATGCCACTGGCGACAAGCATTGCCTCTTAGTTTACATGTTTTCGTAATTACACCAACCCTAGCGTTGTGCACAATTTTGTGAAGTGCATAAATTTCTACAAAAATCCTCTTTTCCTAAGGAGCATCCAACTTCAGAATGGCGCAATCTGCCTCACCGAAATGCTTTCCCTTGTGACCCAGATTGCAGCGTGTCCAGTTTGGCCACGACCCATGCGAAGGCGGGTCTGAGATTACGTCTCGTCATTAAGAAATTTAGACTTGCATTTGCCGAAGCTGACTACTGCATCTTTGAAGTGGCAATCCTCCACTTGATGCTCGTTGATCAGCGACAAAGTTTCTCATTATTATTTAGAAATGATGAGCTTCTGAACATACACACCTCGAGATTTGTGCTGCTTGACGAAGACGTTCAGTTCAGATTCCCCAGAACTGGAATCTGCAGTGATGGAGTATGAATCTGAATGGAAGGGACGATAGTTTCAAGTCATGCTTAGTCGTAGGTTTGTTGATCGTCTTCTCCCACCGAACTTTCCCAGGGATCCGAACCTGTACTAAGGCTACCTGTTTTGCTGCCTACATTCAAGCTGTTGGGATGAGATAAGTAAATCAACATTGCTAATTAGTCGCCTACAGTGGAGGGCAGGGACCACCCAGATTCTAGGAAGACCTATCATTCCATGGCCGGCTAAAGCTTCCAAGCTATACTAAAGCATTGGTCGCTTCTCTTTAAAATGTTTGAAAATATCTTCAGACATCAGCCCACAGGAAACGCATGAAATTTTGCTAATTTTTTTATAAGTTTAGTCTGTTTCGGTTCTGAAGGTCCCAAAGATTTATGCTGGGAAATTCTTGGAACGAAAATTTCTAATGCGCATTATTTGATGCATCACCGCGGCGGCTGCGGAAAAAACCTGCCAGCAAATTGATGTCAGTGCAGTCTTGAGTATTTACTGTAGCGAATGACGAGGCTTAGAACGGGCAGCTGCTTCGAAAGCTTATTTCAAGCAAGCGAATACCATCAATGTACGGCATAAGTTATGAGGCATGTCCTTCAATTTACGACGCGATTTAATTAAGCTTGCCGATAAGCACAACTACAGACCCTCACACACACACCAACCTTCTCGGTTTCGTATTTATTGACGGGCGTGGTCTCGGAGGCCGAGCCATCACCACCAGGCTGCACCACAATCTGTTTTCGGGGACCAATTGCTCTGATGTCCATATAATAACCACGCTGTCAAGACTATCCAAACGAAATGGAGCGCAAAAACTCTTGCAAGACGAGTCTCCATCCCCACAGGGCGTCAAAGTTTAGGGCTTACGAATCGTCGCAAGAGTTTCGATGGATGTCTCCAGCGCCAAGGAGGTACCGGAATGCTTCCCTTCGTGCAGCCTCCATACTCCTGTTGGAAGCAAAAGGGTGTGCCTGCATGTCATTGAAGGAATGCAGCATTTTGGTTTTTATTTTATTTTTTTCGAAATTCATCATGGCATACGGTGGTCGTAGTTGGGAGACGGGTTATTATAAATAGGGTTACGTGCTCTTCAATGCAGACGAGCGCATGGAGATGAGCCGAGAAGCGCAGCGTGTGCTAAATTTGACAGGGCAGCCGAGGGAGCTTGGAGGGGCCCGGGGAGGCTTGCTGCACAGATTCGGAATAGATCTCGACCGAAATTCCTGATTTGCCTTTCCGGATGCGGAACATGCAAGCCTAGTCTGCTTCCGAAGTGGGTAACCAGAGGATTGCGAGTTGTGAGGTAGCTAGCAGATCTTGGGCGCCTACCAAAAAGTTAGCGTGGATGTGCGTCCTCTAGTCCGTGCTGGCGTGAAAACGTGGACACATTTGGTTGATTTGCAGCACGCAAGTGTCGGCGTGTAAATGGGCTGCTCTCGAATCCGCCGCTCATTATCTACTCGCATGTTTCTGCCCTCTGAAATTTCACAGGCTTTCTGCAAACCGTATCGCGCTGGAGACATTGCCTGACGAGAAGTATGAACTCTGTTAGAGTCCCAGGCTTTCATCAACTATGATATGTGCATGTTAGTGCCGCGTAGAAGATTCGATACTTCTTTAGATGGGACCCGTCGTGCGATTTGATCATCGTATGAACATAGGGTTAGTCGCTGCTGATGTGTTGGTCTTGAAGGAGTTGTTTCCGAGGAGGTTGTTTGTCCACGTAGAGAGCGTGCTGGTTGATTTTGAGGTTTAGCGCAGTAGTCTTGTTGTGTTGTGAGACGCCTTTCAACACCTCCTGCTGCAATTGGGTTCCCGAGAGGCTTGTTTTAATGAAGAAGGTTATTCCTCTAGTTTCCCTGAGTCTGAGTACGACCCATTTTTCTTTGCACCGCAAGCGGTGCATTTGCAGCGCAATGCTGATCGAAGGAAGCGTTGTCTTTAAGTAGGAACTGTCTTTCTCCGACTGTATGGTCTTTATGAAGAGTTTTAATTTAGGTGTGTTTAGTTCGTCTCCTACGAATCATCCCAGGCAGGTCGAGTCATTGCCTGATAGATATTAGAGTCTTTTTTTTTATCCAGTTTGAGTTCATGAGTAATATTTAGACGTCGACCCGTCTTCTTCATTGTCCCTCATTGCTTTCTCTCACATTGATCACGTTTTTGCAGGTATTATTGTAGGATTAGTTAACTGCGCCAACATTAAAAGAAGAAGAAGGAAAAAAAGAAGACGAAGGGATGGAACTGATGGAAGATGAAGAAGTAATAGATGGATTGTCTGTCGGCAAAGGCAAACATGGGTACGCTTTTGTTTCGTGTGCTTGTAATTCGTTTACGCTGTCATTTGTAGAATTTTGAGTTTGTAACAGGTTGGTGAATACTTTTACGGAAGTCTTTCAAACACGTATATACAACCTTGCCATCATCTCTTTCCAGACCTTCCGCCTACTTCGTACGTTTGCGCATAGCAACAGGGGGATCTACTCTGAGCGATTTTATTCCAGCAGCATTTTGAGTAGTTATAGTGTATCAGCAATTTCTCGTTGCTACTCTTGTTGTCATCGATGGTCTTGTTCTCGTGAACATGATGGATATGTGAAGAGCCTCAGGTTAAGTTATTCTAGGTTTTACGACTATCTGTGCACATACATGGTTGGAGTGTTGAGGTGCAGTAATCAATATTGAATTGTAATCACCTACTATCCGGTGAGTAGTAGCAGGTTTTGAATAATGGAAGTTTTTCTGAGAAAGGATGGAAAGGCATGTGGACATTACGTGTTGCTGCTGCGTAAGTTAAATGTAAGAGGGTATCAGACCGAGTGCTTAAAGCATCGGACTGCAGCGGAACTCAAGAATGATTTGAAACTACTGACAGTCTTCTTTGCGTGAAAGAAGAGACCTCGCCAACTTCTAAAGATCTTAATAAGAGGCTTCACCAACTTACTGGAAGTTATTAAGATTTGCATCTCTTGTTTTGCAGCTGCAAGCATTACAGGAGACGATGTCGGATCCGGGCTCCGTGCTGCAATGAGATTTTTGATTGTCGTCACTGTCACAACGAAGCAAAGGTCTTAAAATTCGTCTTGGTTATCATGTGCTGTCTTTTCAAGCGCATTTCGGTTGATATTTTGTCTTGTATGTGCACTTTTGCATCTGCTTTGTTACAGTTGTGAGAAGTCTGTCTTAGTAATAGAGTTTTGTAGCTGGCATTTTTCTGAGTAACATAAAGCACGCAGACCGTAACTGCTTTTGTCTTTGGTTTGTTGGGTTGTTTTCGAGCACCCTTTACATCAAAATTCAAAACCTTATGATCGATTCTCGGTCCTTGCGCAGAACACTAACGAGCTTGATGATTCGGAGCGCCATGAAATTCCAAGGCACCGTGTTGAGAAGGTACCTAATACATGTTAAGGTTCAAGGCTCTGCTCCTCACTGAACCGTAAAGTCTTAGGAATATTATAAATTTTTACTGTGCAACGAGGTCAGAGTGAGAAGGTAGCATAGTTACTCTGAATCTGGTGAAGTATATTGTTCGAGAGGGGAAATGCAGTTGGAAAAGTGGATCGTGGGCTTCTACAGGTAACTGCAAAGTTTTGAATGGCTAAGGTTGGTGCCCTTGCCGTGCAGGTCGTTTGTTCGCTTTGTGACTACGAGCAAGACGTAAAGCAGGTGTGTGAGCGTTGTGGGGTTTGCATGGGTGACTACTATTGTGACAAGTGCAAGTTCTTCGACGATAAGGTTAGTACGTCCACTGAATCAAACCTCAGATTTCATTGTGAGGGTCTACATCGTTCTGATGTGAGCTTATCTTTTTAAGTTCATTGTGTGATACAGTATGGAGTGTTTCATCTGAAGAGATCACAGACGTTCATAAGGTTTGGACGATGTTCTATGATTGATATAAGTTTTCTTTACCGACCCTCCAGCTTGCACGAAGCTCAAATGTGAAACTGCTGTTGACTCGAATGTTGTGTGTGGATGTGACTGATGCAGACGGAGAAGAAGCAGTATCACTGTGATGCTTGTGGAATATGCAGAATTGGTGGTCGAGAAAACTATTTTCACTGCGATCGTTGCGGTATCTATTTCCTTTGCATATCTCTTCAAGTGCTGCAATTATCGCTTGTATGCATTAAATTCGGATCTTTAGATTTTCCATCCATCTCTTAAGCTGAGGTTATAGGATTGTGTTGTTTAAACCGGCCAGATTGTGCCGCTAAATCTTTTGATATTAGCTTGCTAAGAAACCTGGAGTATTTTTTTTTTTTTTTTTTTTTTAAATATGTCCATGGTTAACATTTAGCTAGTCATTGATGGATTTATTTCGAGTGTTACAACATTCCAGGCTCCTGTTATTCAAAATCGCTTCAGGATGGACATCCTTGTGTGGAGAATGCTATGCACCAGAATTGTCCCATATGTATAGAGGTAAGTGGATGTTTGATCGGAAGATTTGTTTGTTACAGTTGAGTGACATCTTTATGGGTTTAGCAATATTTTCGAGTGGTGCTAGTGAAAGTTACCTGGACGGACTGAAAATTTTGTAAAACAAGTGGATTTTTCAGGTTTCCAAGTTATGAAATATTAACTTTCACTATACCACTCTCGGGTGTAATGAAATTTTTCTAATCTCCAGTACTTGCCATGTTATGGATGGTGTCGCAGTACCTGTTTGACTCGGTGATGGATATCGCTGTGTTGCCTTGTGGTCACACCATGCACCAAGCTTGCCTCCGACAGATGAATCGACATTCTCAGTGAGCTCTCAAGCTGCCTCTTCGCTGATTGAAAATTTGGGGACTGGTTGTTAGTTGATATGATAACGTCTTTTGTCCTGCATTGCGTCATGGGAGGACCAATAGTGTACCTTGGGAGACTTTTTCATGCACATGAAAGAATGACACTCATGTGAGTGTTAAGTTTTCCTTTTTGGCACGAGGTTGGGTCTTCTGCATTTTAAACTCTGCATTCAATGTAAATTTTTGGAGTAATTAACGAGGAATATGAAGGAAAGGCTTGGTTGGGACGTTCTGGATTAAGTTATGTTGTATTGTACAGGTTTTGTTGTCCGATCTGCTCCAAATCCACTCAAGACATGTCAATGTACTGGGAACGGCTGGATGAAGAAGTATTCTTGACCCCAATGCCTGAAGAATATCGTCATAAGAAAGTACGGTTTCTACGGTTTTTACGACCTTCACCTCAATAATCGTGCGTTTTGTAACAGATCGGATGCACATGCCATATTCTCAGATCTCTAAAAATCTGCCGTCTTTATCATATGCAGGTTTGGATTCTATGCAATGACTGCGGAACAACTAGTGATGTCAATTACCACGTAATAGGTCAGAAATGCCCAGAATGTGGGTCATACAACACACGGTCTACATGTGCACCGTCAACAGGCAGACTCGCTGAACCAATGTCTCCTGATGGAGTCTCACCTGAATCCGTTGGGCCGAGTATCTCAACCTCAGTTGGATCTCTGCCAAATGAGATGGGTACGTAGAAGCATGGATCCTGAGTTGGAAGTAGAGCAGATGAATGTGTGCTCTCAATTATGGGTGTCTCAAACGACTTGATTTGTTAGTATTTGGAGGTTAGTAAGCAGCTGTAGTGAGCAAAGATGACAACAATCAATTGTTTCCTCTCCTGGTTGTATGATATCCGCTTTGTTGATACATCACCAAGTGTAGCTTAAATTCAGAAGCAGCGGGATATGCCAGGAGAACACTATTCTTTTATCTATGGACTGGAAGGTTAGGAGTGGAATGGATAAGTTAAGAACAAGAATAGACAGTGTTGTTTAAATCTGATCGAGAGTAGCATATTGAAGTCCAGGTTTTAGCCACATGTAAATCCTCCTAGGCTGTTTTGCACGGAGTCTCTAATCTCCCTGTGGAAGGCCCAAACTGTGTCTTTCCTCCATCTGCACTGTACACAGTACGGTGTACAAAGCAGGTAACATTCTCTTAAATGGTGATGGGATCAAGTGCACCGTCCTGACAAAAATCTTCCTTTCCTAGGTATTCTCTTTCTCACTCGAGGCTTTTGTAGATGCTGTTAATACCACTTCTGAGTTGTCACGTTTCTTTCAAATTCAGTCAAGATGAGCTGAGACAGATTCCGGACCTGCACACTGAAATAGCAAGAGCCCAAACGATTGAGGTGAAAAATCCCTTTTTGTCTTTTCCTTCATCATTTCTTAATTTATTTTTTCCATTCTCTAATCGGGAGTGTCGCATGGGTAGCTGCCCTAGTCTGTCTGTCAGCTTCACCTTCATGCTTTGATTTTCGAGGGTATGTTTCATTTTATTTTTATTTTTATCTATTTTATGTTCATGCAACTGAAACTGGGTAAGTAGTAGAGTGACATCCATCCTGTGCCTCCATGGTTTTTTCTGTTTTATACCAAGATGGGTTGATTGCCCACAAATCTCGTCGTGGACTAAAGGATAGTATGGATGGTATGTTTTCAAAACCGAGGCATGGGAAAGTGGAATTCTAATGTTGAAGAGTGGGGAATGGATCATTTTTTGAAAAAAGCCCTAAACAGCTGCATGCATGCACATGCACACGAATTTATAAGTACATACCATCAGTAAAATAAAAATTATACATGTACCTAGTAACAATGCAGTTATTCAATTCGAATTGTTGTCAATTTTTTGGTTCTGTAGGGTTTTCATCAAAGTAAATTGAGTTAAATCACCTCATTTGATCACACTAACACAAATTCTATCCAATTAGTATGGGCATAGTTGTTTTTATCAGAATGTGAAATCTTGTCACTCTATCTGTACGGTTTTTATATATTCGTCTTTTCAAATACATACACAAACTTTTTAATAGAAACTGTCGAAACTGATCATTTCTCTTACCAAACGTAATTTGTATCCATCTCCTGAAGCTTCTCAATTAAAGAATGCTACCCAAAGTTGTATGTGAACCAAAGTTTCGTTCAGTCTCGATTAGCATCTCTTTGAAAGTTCATAAGGTTGTGCACACAGAAGACAGCTTTACATGACCAAATACCAATTTTAAGAATAATGTCTTAACGTGATATTACTATGAAAATGATTTAATAAAATAGACTATCTTATTTTCCTTTAAATACTTACAAATATACAGAAATAAAAGAAGTAAAATATAATTGTGCAAGCACTGTATCCATGTACCATTCCATATTCCTTATTCAATACCGGATTACCCTTTCACTTTTCCCTTAACTTTCCCCACAGTTTATACCGTTTAACGTGGAATGCAGATGGGTGACCTGTAATAGTAGGTCACCACAAAGTCTCGATGGGAGGGCAAAAAAGGCAAAAGCGATTAATCTGGGGTTACGGAAGATAACGGGCCGATCCCACCTGACACCCGCGATAAAGAGGAGGGGAAATTCAAACACGCACAGCAATAGGGCCCAATCCCTCGCCAGTTCCATTCCAGAACACGTGCTCCTCTCTCTCCCTCTACACAAGTTTGAAGTCCCCGCTCCCAACGGCTCTCCTTGGGCGAGGGCCTCGCAACGGTTCTTCCCTCTGCGCAACAACTGCGACGGGATTTCGTGTGTTCCATCGCCGCGATGCACTCGATTGCGCTGCTGCTCGTGCCCTGCTCTGCCTTCGCTGCCTTTCTTATCCTTGAATTGTCTCCTTCCTCGGTCTTGCGATCTGGAAACGGTTGACATTGCTGTGTGTCGTGACTCGACGAGGCGGGAGGGTATCAGCTTTCCCGGGACAATTCGCGTTTGAATGCGATATGGTTGCCAGATTGAGGTGTCCGATTAGATCGTGGTATTGCGGAAGGGTGGGGGGTGTGATGACATTTGACTCCCGCGTTGGAGTTGAGGTGAGCGAGGGAGTGTCTACTATGGGAGTGAGTGCGTTGAGTGTAATGCGTACGAGATGAGTGTGTTGGTGATGTCGAGTGTGGTCAGAATTTTTAATGGCAGGTTCGCTTGATCGTGGAGTACTGTTGAAGATTAGCGTTCACTCTAGTTAGACGAGAAGAGCTGATTTTTGCTGTTGACTGTGATCAGTGAGGTGGGCGTAGAGTTTCTGGGAAGGTGTTTAGTCCTGTCTTTACTGCTGTGTGGCTTGGAAGGTTATGTTGGCTCTGCGTGCACCAGCATTCGAGATGGGTGCGAAAGGACTGAATGATATTTTTGTAAGCAGTAATTTTGCTCATGTCATGGGAGAGACGTCAGACAGGCTGAGAAGTGTCTAGTCACACTTTGTGGACTCCTCAAGGTCCTTGAATTTTTTTTTTTTTTTTTTTTTTTTTTCGTATTCTTTGTGAATTTTTGAATTTTTGAATTCTCAAAGGTCTGCCTACGATCGTTGTATTTTTCGAACCTTAATTGGCGTCAGTGAACGTATTGTAAGGGCGGACTTAGATATACGAGCAGAACGGATTTAATTAAATTCACGCTCATTGCATCATTGGTTGACTTCCCAAATCGAAACACCCAGTAGCTCTGTTCAAGAGAATGTTTAATGCGGAGATGTGGTAGAAATACCATGGTGAGCTCACTCTAGGTTTCTACACGCAATGTGTCTTCAGGTTCATGATGCTGAGGTCGTGAATATTTTTCTGACCCACGAATTAAATTCACACTTTTCAGGTTGTGAGCAGATTACGCGTTCAGAACCTCAGATGACTACCCTGGGTTCTAGCAAGAACGAATTCCTTCCTTACTGACTTTCATGGCAATAAGAAAAAGGCGTTCTCTTCCAGGGAGTGTGATTTCATGATCAGGAGAACCTGCTGTGAAGATAGCCATGGCGAAAGGGACGTCCTCATCCCGTCTTCTACTGGGTGACTCACTTCGCAAGAGTACCCAGGAGTCTGCTGAGGGACATGATACCAGTGTCGGTATCGTGACGCCAACTCGAAATGGCAAAATGACGCCCACTCGAAAGGCCCTTACTCCCATTGCCGAGATTGTCAGTAACCCGCTGACATCTGATGAATTAAGTTGTGAGGATTCTACTCTGAGTAGAAAAACAGACGCAACTACTCCTAAGCAGCGGAAAAAGAGGCAGAACCTGTTCCCCGACTCAGAAAACAATGTGGACTCAATGGAGGTTTCGGTGACAGGATCATCCGGCAAGCACACAGGAATGTCGCCGGGGAGAAGTAAGAGCAGCTTTGCAGGTTCCTCAAAGAAGTCCCCTATCGTCGCTCGCCCAGTCCAAGAAAATTGCCAGTCTGATACTATCACAGAGGAAAGTCTTACCCCTAGACGCCGTTTGGCTAACATTGTCGAGATCATTCAACAAGGACCCTCCAGTAAGAATTCCACGAAAGCAAGCTCCGAGCAGCTGACACCCAAGAGCTTCCGGAGTGGTAGTAGGAAAGGTATGAGTGAGACAGAGGTTGGGACGTCCTCTCGATGCAGTTCTGGTCAGTTGGCCAATGGCACACCTTCCAGTTCCAGGACAGCCAGGTCTTTGAAATACGGTGCGAGCGGAGCAGTTCAGTCTTTAAGCGCCGGGGTCCCGCACAATCGAGCGAGTGTAACGAGTACCCTGAATCGGCAGCTGTCCATGCCGCAATTGAGTCACCAGGTTTCAGGGCAGCATTTTGATCTCGTGGAGGACCCTCATTTCTGGGGCGATCACAATGTTCAGGTGCGTTGTGTTCAAGGCTGCGAAGCTTGTCCATTGTAGTTGCCAACTATCCATGAATGTCAAGTTTAAACTCTTTGCGATTGTTAACTTTCCCCTTCGGACTGCAGTTCCGTTGGCCAGAGTTTGCATGCTGAGTTAGATTAGTCGTGTTAAGGCTCCTGTTACCTCGTCTGATAATCGAGGGAGGATCGTGTAAATATCTCCGTGCCTCCATGGTTCTTAGGCATCTCGCAGGGCCCTTATTGGTATGATGTAGAGTTTCTTACAGTAAAATTGTGTCACCTTGAGGTAACGTTGATTACAGAAAAGTCTGTGGTGGAAACCCAAGCTATGTTGCTAATGCAGCAGGACTCAATTTATTAACCTACTTTTGGCATCATGGATTTCTTCGTGGAAGGGTCGAGTACTTTTCTGAAGGGACGAATTCATGAGTTACGTGCCCAATTTAAGGACACTCTGGGTCATGTCATACAGGTACTAATAAGAACTCGTCCAATCAACAAAGCTGAAATGGCAAGCCAAGGATTCATGAGGTGTCTCAGACAAGACAGTCCACAGACTATCACTTGGCTTGGTCAACCAGAGTCACGCTTCACCTTTGACCACGTGGCTGGAGACATCGTCACTCAGGTTATTAGTTATTCCGATTCTAATACACAGGATTCAATGGACCTTCTGACAAAGTTTTAAACTGCTGGTCCTCGCATCTCGATAGCGTGAATCGTTTTCCTGCTGTCGCGTTTCAATCGTCTTAACTTTTATGTAAACTACTTTGTCACCATCATAAACCGGGACGCTATGCCCTCAGGAGAAAATGTTCAAAGTTGCGGGTTTGCCCATGGTGGAGAACTGTATGTCCGGTTACAACAGCTGCATGTTTGCCTACGGCCAGGTATGAGGTTTTTTTTTCCCCAATATCAGGTTTTGAGAGAGTTCTTTTTATTTTTATTTTTGTTTTTGCCCTCCCATAGCGCAGTATGGTCAATCATGGGTAGTTGGGAAACTATGGTTGTTGTGATAAGCAGTGCAATTTGTGAAAATGAATTTATTTTCAGATGCGTTCGAAACTCTTCAGCCCAGGATGAAATGTCAAGTTACTCGCGCGTTTAGTTGTGCAACTTTTTAATTGTTCTGCTTATTCATTATGCTGTGGATTGATTTCATCTACCTTGTTGGTCCAGACTGGAAGCGGGAAAACGCACACAATGTTAGGAGATATCGAGAATATTGACCTGCTACCGAGTGAGAACAGGGGAATGACTCCCCGTGTTTTTGAGTATCTGTTTGAGAGGATTCGGAAGGTGAGTTTTGTGGAATGGAAGAACCACAGAGCAGGTTCTAAAATTTCCTTAACGCAGCAATTACTGTGAATTTTCATATCTGCTGATTTCCACCCGCGTCTGCAACCTAAATGGGTTTTAATAGAAATTTCTAACGTGCGTTGCTGCAGGAAGAGGAAATGCGCAAGGATGAGAATCTCATGTTTATGTGTAGGTGTTCATTTCTTGAAATATATAATGAGCAAATTACTGATTTGCTAGAGCCGACCTCGACCAACCTTCATGTAAGATGCTCTTACTCTATATTAGAGTTGACATGATTTTGAATATCGAAAAGAAATCCATCTGATATTTTTCTTTTGCCGAGAGCTCTAACTTGCGCTGTCCTATCCCGCCACAGATGCGAGAAGACAACAGGACTGGGGTCTATGTTGAGAACCTCTCTGAGGTCGAGGTTCATAATGTTCAAGATGTCATCCGGCTTCTGATCCAGGTATATATACAAATGTATAATGTAATTTGGAAAACTTCAATATATTAGGGTCGGGTGTGGACGTCCATGACCTTAGATAATCGGCTCTTACGATTTGTGAACTTGTAGACTCCACTCTTTAAGCTAGCGTCTTGAAAGTAGTGATATTGACATGTATTAAACATTATCTCACTTCTATTGCGTGTAGGCAGCTCCTAGATTTTCGTGCTCTATCTGAAACTTTCAATTGGGTGTACTGTCAGGGTGCTTCGAATAGAAGAGTTGCGGCGACCAACATGAACAGAGAGAGCAGTCGCTCTCACAGCGTGTTTACGTGTATTGTTGAAAGTAAGGTAAATGAGGTCTCTTAGACCATTACCTCTCCTATTTTAGATATTTAAAGGTGGGGATCTTTCTACCATGAATGTTTTTCTTTCTAGGAAGCTGCGGACATATTCTGGTGCTTGGGATCTAGACATTCGAAACTAATGACATATCCTTGTGCACTGGGCAGTGGGAGCGTGATTCGATGACTAATATCCGATTTGGTCGGCTTAACTTGATCGATTTAGCAGGGTCTGAAAGGTACGCTCTGTCCATGCTGGACAACACTTTGAATTATAGTACACTGGCACATCTTGAGATGAAATACTGTGTCTAAGACGTGATTGACATACTGTTCAGGCAGAAGTCTTCAGGTGCAGAGGGTGAACGCTTGAAAGAAGCTGCTAACATTAACAAGTCGCTCTCAACACTTGGGTATGATCACCATATTCCCTTCACTGACAGCTGTTTTAACTTAAACAGAATGATCTGACCACGATCTCATAATAACTCCGGTATTTACAGGCTCGTCATCATGATCTTAGTTGACGTCGCCAATGGGAAGCAGCGACATGTTCCCTATCGGGATTCCAAGCTTACGTTTCTGCTGCAGGTAACAATTCCCTGCTTTATCAGGAGTAATCTATCTTTTTTCCAGCATTGTAGCCCAGTAGGAGGTAATATCACTGCTTTTAAACTGTGCTTGGCAACACCATGGAGCTGAAGATCCAGATCTAATTGCAGGATTCTCTGGGAGGCAATTCGAAGACAACTATTATCGCGACTGTGAGCCCTTCTGGCTGGTACGAGGCAATCTCCTAGTACACTCTTGTTAAAGTCGGTGAATTTTATTTATCGCAGATACTACCTGGGAGTTTAAGTAAATAGTATGTTCATGAAACAATGCATTACTTGGTGAGTTTCATTTGTAATATGTGTAAGGTTGTTTTTGGGTTCCCCTTGACAGTAATTCCATGGAAACCTTGAGCACACTGAAGTTTGCACAACGAGCCAAGTTAATCCGTAATACTGTAAGCCTTCTCCTATCTGCAATGTCGCAACCCTTTTACGAAGTTCCTTGAGTTAAAATTGAAGTATCATATTCCTACTGAACTGCATTTGCTGACCTTGGACCTTCTTGATTGAGGACAGGCTGTTGTTAATGAGGATGCTTCAGGAGATGTAAAAGCTTTACGACTTCAATTACAACTTATGAAGGTTCGGTTCTTATCTCATCAACATTCTTGACTGACTGATTGTTCCAAGTGAAAATGGATTCGAGTTGATGGAAATTTTATTTCAACAGGAGGAATTAGATCGGATCCGCCGGCAAAGTATTTCGAGCATTCCTTCAGCCCTGTTACCAGTTGATAGGTCATGGGATGCTGCAAGAGCACTTGGAAGCCCAACGGGTACCAATCAACAGGTAAGTGTGTTTGTTGGGTTAAGTGTGTGACGGCAAGCTTTTCGATGAATGCAGAATCCTGTTATGTGTCAGCATCAAAACTCCCGTACTGTCGTTGAGCTGTAATTCCGAACGTAGTAACCGCCACTCTTCTCCTAACATGTTTGATTTGAGTGCATTGCGGTTCGTCAGTTGAAAGCGATGGAATCAATTGTGGCCGGAGCACTGCGGAGGGAGAAAGCTGCTGAAGAGGTCACAAAATTTCGAGCTTCTGAGATTGAGCATCTCCATCGTATGGTAAAGTCTTCCCGATGAACTGGTGAAAAGTTTTTTACTTTTCCTGAAGCATGGAAAAGTCTATGTCTTCCTGTTTAAGAGTCTGAACTGCTATCGGATTGTTGTGTACAGGTTCAGCAATACAAAGAAGACTCACAAAGTGGCAAGATGATTTTAAGATTAAGAGGAGACAAAATCAGACGACTGGAGGCTCTCTCTCAAGGTCTGCTGGATGTCGACACTCACCTTGCAGAGGAGAAGAACATGCTGTGCGAAGAAATTAAGTTATTAAGAAGTCAAATGGGTTGCGATCCTGAGCTCTCGCGTTTTGCCATGGAAAACATTCGCCTCTTGGATCAGTTAAAGAGGTACAGCATAGCTGTGTGGACAGTTGCACGATTTCTTTAAGTCTTTGTAGTTCTAGAATACTACCTAGACTTCACGTGTATATTAATTCAAGTTACCATGTTTGCAGTGTTAAGGAATTCCAGGAAGGAAAAGAACAAGTCATGGCGCAAGAAATTTCAAATTTACGTGACAAGGTATGAGATATTATCCGTGCAGGTGCAGATACAGCTGGAGCTACAGAATGATTAGTGTTTTTAATCTCATACTAATCTACTTTGATCTATCACCATGTGAGTTGAGTACTAACTCTAACTTGATCTTATGAGCAGTTATTAGAGGTCCTAGAGGGGAAGATTGCCCAAGATCAAGTACGTGGCTCACTCTCAACATCCCAGGTATGCATTTTAATTTTCATCCCCTTCACCTCTCCTGCGAATCGCACGCTCGTAAGGTTCTTCATTCTTTTCTGGGTTTGTGGTTTTTACGTGACTTAATCATTGAGGTCATCCTGTCCCCCAACAACTTCCTAAGCAACTTTTTACTTACCAAGTGATGTCCTTCTGTTGCCAGGAACGCGTTTCTGCAGTCGAACTTGCCGCCAAAGATCGTGAGATTGAGCTTTTACGTACTGAGGTAAACCTATATTTACATTTTCTTTCATGTAGGAGTCGCTTTTATCACCGCATTTCTTATCTTGCAACCTCTGTTTCATTCTCTCTGCCTGGTTACAAGCACCAGAGTTCCAGGACGATCTCAGATGCTATTAAGTGGCCTGGTGTGCAGGCGAATAATTACCGAGTAGAGTTGGAACATTATCGAAGCGAATTGAATTCCGTGCTAGAGTCCAATGCTGCAATGGAAAGGTGGAAACATTGAGACCTACAATATTTTTTTTTGCATGTCCTACCAACTGATCAGACGACTGTGGCACTCAGCAGACACTAACAGATTTTAATCTAAACACGCAGTCAAGCGAACGAACTTCAAGCACTTATCAAGCAGCTTAGAGGGAATGAGGGTGCACGAAACCAATTCCAAAACGAAGATAAAATCAAGTTGTTGGAGACGCAACAACTAAAGCATCTACAAGATATCATGGAGCTCAAAACCCAACTTGAGCAGGTAATGAAGTCAGTTTTCATTTTTAGACCATGTCCAAGTGTGTTTGGGTAAAGTATAAGAGATGGTACTTACTACTTGAGAATTGTATGACTTCCAGATGGAATCTAAAGCGGATTCAGAACGCAAAAGGAATGAACATCTTGAAGCACAGCTACAGAAAAGTCTCAAAGAAGCTCATAATTTCCACAATCTGCAGGCAAGGCATTTTAGCAGAGTTTTTAGCACACTTGTAGCCGCGCAAGGTTCTGTCTCCTTGAAGTTATGCGTGAACGATTACGTAGTAACATATCATATCGTTTACAGGAACCACCTTATAATGCTCACGCATTGGAGAGGCGCAGCTGTACGGAGATGGAGAAAGCCACTACTCAGCTTAGCCAACGACTCACTGAACATGAGTCAATGTCCGTGCTATGGTTGCAGAAGGTACTGAATTGATGTCTTCGAAAACTGTCAGTGAAGTCCTTTTTAAGTGTAGGAGACTAGAAGTCGATCTTATGGGTTTTAATGTGGTGCAATTTCAGGAGTCCAAGCTAAGAGCTGAACTTGAGGAGGCTCAATCTGCTATGAACTCAATTCTGGAGGGACAAGTGAATGAGCCCGAGGAACTTCTTCGTTCTCAACAAGAAACCAGGTGCCTTCAGATGAAGCTTATCTCTTCAGAAGCTTCCAGGAATGAGGAACATACACTTCGGAAGCAGCTGGAGCAGACGATAAATGACATGACAGCAGAACATAGTAGACAGATCGATGAAGCAGTCAGCAAACTCTCCGAGCAGAACTTGATCGTTGAGGCCCTGGAGAATCAACAAGTTTTGTCTATCAACGAGATCGAGAAGCTTCACAAAAACCATGAAAAGCTTCTCATTAAGCTGAAAAGGAGAGACGAAAAGCAACGCTTGCTGAAAAGGAAAATTAGTCAGCTGACTTGGGAGCTGACTAAGGAGCAAGAGCTTCGGGATGTACAAAGAGAAATGGAAGAGGGATTAATGCTCAACGAAGAGGAAATGGCGGTGCTGGAAACCAAGCTTGAGAATGCCAGGAAGGAGCTTGATATGGCCCGAGAGTTGAATGCAACGTTCCAGGTTGAGCAAGAGCTTCAGAAAATTAAGCAACGAGATATAGATTGTTCGAGATCCGAAGCAGAGACAGAGACTACTCTCGCAATTTCTACGATGCACAACGAGCTCATGTCTATGGAAGATGAGTTAGTTAATGCGTTACAGAGAGAAACAGCAGCACAAGAACATCTGAATGTTCTCAGAGAGGAGCTGGCAGATGCGCTTAGAATGGTGGATGAAATGCGGAATGAAAACATTCTGTTCAACAGGAAGTATGAGACAATGATGACAGAGAAAGACGCCGAGTTAATGTCTCTGCGAAAGGGCTTGAATGTGGCTTCAGAAAAGTTGATTGATTCCGCTCAAACAGATCAGTACGTCACTGAGTTAAGCTTGTTGGCTCCGGATAACACACACATGTTACCACGAGAATCACTGAATGCTGGAAAGGCTAGTATGCTGCTCACTGATGAGAAGGTTTTAACTCAAATCCGGCTTTCCGAATGCGAGGCAGAGTTGCTTGCTATGCGGGATGATTTAACCCGTGCTGAAATGAATCTACATCAAGCAAAAGTCCGGAACCTGGAGCTTATCCAAGCACAAGAAGCACTTGAAGTCGCAAACCAAAAATATGATGTGGAGAAAGCCACACTTGTGGGTACTCTGCGTGAACTTGAGCGGCAGTATACTGATTCTCAGAACGCTTTGTCTAGTCTGCAGATTCAGGTTGAATGCGCTAAATGCCGCGAGGCGGCCCTCTTGGTGGAGTTAGAAGAACTCCGACTTTCAAAAGCGAGCTGGGATGCACAAACGGAACAATTAAAGGACGATCTCGTAGATATGTGTGTCAAGCTGGAACATGCCGAAGTTATGAAGCATGACACTTTCGAGTCTAAGGAGTCGCGAACCAGGCACAACACCCTAGAGTACGAAGAAGATAAAATGGCAGCTCTGATAACGGAGATTGAAAGCTTGCGCTATTCCAACCGAAATTTGGAACTTGAGAAGAACGAAGCTACTTATGTATCAGTGAAGCTTGCTAGTTCATTAAAGGAGAAGGAAAAAGCCCTACAGGAGACTAACGATGCCCTTGCGCAGCTCAAATTGGAACTGCAGGAAGCAGTAGAGGCTAATGATTCTCACCAACAACATAGCAGCGGTTGCATGTCTGAGAGGGGAGAGTTACTTGCGAAATGTGCGTCGTTGGAGAAATGTCTGGACGTCACCTCTCCAAACATTCGCCGGTCGGAAGAGAGAGCCAATTCCCTGGATTTGCTTGTCCAAGAGATGTATGTCGCAGAAGAGAGGTCGAGCTTGGAAATAGCCAATCTGAACGCTGAGGTTGAAGGAATGAAGAATCGTCTGGCTGACAAAGAGGCTGAGTGCGAAGGTTTAAGGGATGAAAATGATCGCCTTCATGCTGCTCTTCTCTCAGCGCAGAGGGAAGGATCTTCCGCTATCTGTGACCTCATAGCATTGAAGCAGAAAACCAGGTCAGAAGCTCACGAAAGTTATCTGCCAGAACATGAGGAACGTTCAAACTCGAAAGCGTTACTTTCAAGACAAAGGGAAGTGGAGGTGTATGAGGATGAGATTACCAAGCTCATGACGATGTTGAATCAAACAGAAGAACGGTCGATTATGTTAGAGTCCAAGTGGAGAAGAGAAAAAGAAACACTGGTAGCAGAGCGGGACATCGCGAGACTGGATGCGAACCAAAAGGGAAGCGAAGCTGCAACCTTGGCCAGGAACTTTGAAGTGAACCGTGTAACATTGAGAGAGGCTGAAATGATGGTTGATGCACTAGTTCACGCGAAGGACAGAGCCAAGAGTGATGCAGAAGGATGGAAACTAGAATACGAGAGGCTACTTATATCTCAGGAAGTTGCCGTTAAGAATTTTTATGCGGAGACCCTGGAAGTACTAGATCTTACGAAACAACAGGTTGAAAATACTAAAAGCCACTGCGAGAAAGAAATTGAAGCATTGGCGGATAATGTAAAGCAAGTGAAAAGCGAAATAATGGATGAACTCCGCACATGTTTTGCTGCTCTAAAAGATGACGTCGGGGCCGAAATCAAACTCAGTATTGACTGTTACGCAGATGCTGTAGAGAAGGCAGAAATGAAAAATTCTTTTCTGACCGAAAAGCCACGGGTTGCTGAGAAACTCCAGCAAAATCATGATGGAGAGGTTACTGAATCACTGCTAGAATTGAGCCTCCAAGCTATTCGTCAGTCTCTAGCAGAAGTATCTGCGCTGAAGTGGAACCAGACAGATGTTTGTGATGTCAATGAATTTGATCTTGAAATCAGTCAGGTGGTGCTGAACTCAGCGCAGGTAGCAGTTTCCAAACTTCAGGCTTCTGTAGCTGGTAATGATGCCGATCTCTTGGATTTACACTCCAAGCTTGATGAATGCCACGGTCATACAGGAGATATTGAGAGAAATCATCAGAATTCTGTGTCAGAGTTAGAGTCTGAACTTGCCATAAAAGTTCATGAACTAGATTTGATGAGAAAAGAAATCTACGCATTGAACATAGCGACTGCAAACGCTGAAGTAGAAAACATGGTAATGAGGGATCAGATAGAGGAGTTGAAGACCAAAGCAGCCGCATTAGAAGCAGAGTTGAAGGTGAAGGAAGCCGCCTTGAAAGCTCTAGAGCAGGAGCTTCTTCTTTCTGAAAGCAAACGAGATAGCATGCTTCAGGAAGCTGAAAACAATTTGAAGGAGGTTGAAATCGAGAGAGATTCTTTATGGTCAGATTTGTTGGCATTGAATAAGGAACTGGAGCTGGCCCAAAATGCTGATAAAGATGCTGAGGTATGTTAACCACCCAATTTTCTCTCGAATGATTCAAACATTAGTATACTTGTGAGCCGTTATCACAGTATACAGGCACTTAGGGATTCGAATCTCTGAACAACACTGCTAACTTTACTCCTCTTTTGTATGTAGCTTGAACAATGCAAGGCAAGAATATCCAACCTGATGGCAGCTGCTGAGGGACAAGCCACTGCATACCATCATAAGGTACTGACTTGTTTCAATGACTTGGACTATAGTATCACAGTTGACCACCCCTGCTGCCAATGAAAGATCTTGGTGTGAGATCTATGTTATGTAGTAATGATACTATTTTGGTTTGTGGATGATGTGCTTATATGAGACGCATTTCAAACTGTAATCCACTTTGTAAGTTCGTGAATATAATCTACCATTAAGCATGCGCCCGTAAAAATTTAACGAGTTTGTCCTGTGATTTTGGTTCGAACAGCTCAAAGAACTAACATCCATGGTGGAACAAGTAAAAGTGGAAGACCGAAGGTTTAGTTGCGGATCACCCTCAACTCCCCAAACAAGGGAGAAGTCAAAATCCCCTTTCAAAGGCTCCGGATCTCCATTTAGCTGCATGGGGAAGGGTATGGTGCATCAAAGGACAGCAGAGCTAAATGCTGAGCGCTCTGCCCAAGAGCGCCTCATTCAGGAGCTCGAGATCCTTGCTGCATCCCGGCAAAGAGAGGTAAGTAGCTCCTCTTGAAGGAGTCAATCACGAGTAGTCATGTCATCCAAGAGTCTACGATTTCTCCCCCATATACGTTTCTCGTCAGAATTTTCCACTGCTAGAAGTGAACCTTAATACAGCTTGATATCAAGGTGGTGAAGGATGGAAAACGAAGATAGAACCCTTCGTCTTCATAGTTTGTTTCAGTAAGCATCCTTATGTTTGACGTGCCTTTGAATAGTGATCCCATTTCTATATCTTTGTTATATGGTATTATCCGTCAAAATCTAACTGCTCTTGAAACTTCTGCTGGCAGCCTAGCTAATGTTGTACGCTCAATTTGCAGATATTTATGTTGAACGCGAGGCTTGCCGAGGCTGAGAGCCAGACGCATGACGTCATTCGGGAGTTACTTGGAGTGAAGTTGGAGATCTCTAATTTCACTGTACGTTCCGATCTGTGGACTTCGTATGTTGAGAAACCTCAGTAGTCTTTCACCTGCTAATATCACTTGTATGTCTCTTGCCAGGAATCTCAACAACATTCGCAGCGGCTGGCAGAAGATACCCGTCGCCGAAGCGTGACCCCTGAAAAGTCGGAAAGAAATTTGGCCCAAGTTTCAGAGATAGAAGAACTGAAGGTGCAGCTTAACGAGCTTATTGAGGAGAGAGAAAGGTTATAAACCCATCTATGTGTCGTATACAATGTGGCACTTTTTTGCAATCCTATTTACAGCATCAAGGTCGATGAAGTAGCGCTGAATGTGAACTCATGAATTGGATTCTGGTGTGCAGTTGGCTTGAGGATCTGAATAGAAGACATGCAGAGATCGTTGCCTCCAGAATTTCTGCTGACAAAATGCGACAGCGTGATCAAGAACTTTCGGCTGAAAATGACAAGCTGAAGGTAGTAGATGTTCTAGACCTTGTGACTTTGTCTTGAAGATCTTTCAGCTCTGAACGCGCGCACTGCAGAATTCAATGTTCCCGAGTATGGTTCAGTATCTTGTTGTTGTAACTTTCTGGAAACGTTTTGTACACAGTTGGAGAATACTGGATATGCTCAAAGAGTAACAGAGCTGGAAAAAGATATTAAGAAGCTATCTGGCCAGCAGAACCTCCAGCAACGGATTCATCATCACGCCAAAATTAAGGTACGATCGAGTATATATTACCTCCCCTAGAGCTGGATGTCTAATGAACTCGGCACTGCGTATTGTTTAAGTGATTTCCTTCGAAACTAATGCCGCTTGAACAACAGGAAGAGAACACCACTCTACGTCGCAAAACTGAAGATTTAAGTTCTAAATTAAGGCGAACAGAGATCTTGTTTGCTCGTGTCAATGATGAGCTTGCTAAATATCGTACAGCCGAAGGAAAGACTCCCTTTTTGAATGTTGACGAGGAGCAATGTCTCAGGAGCAAACTCCAGGTGAAGCTTCGTGCCGAAGAGGACGTGAAATTTTTTTCTGTTTCACACAATGCAAACTCAAATCAAACGAAAGTTCCGATTTGCAGAATCTGTGATTGGGTTAAAAGAGCTACACTAACAAAGCACACTGGCTCTTGACGCAGGAAGCGGAGGATGCTAAGATACAAATGGCACAAAAGATAATAACGTTGTACTCTAGCATAATGAAGGTACATAATTTTTCTTTGATTTATATCTCTAATCAAGTTCACTTTTTCTAAAGAATTGCTCTCATCTTGGATGCTATGTTTTGCAGGCAGCCGGTCTCACTCCAAATGGCGAAGAGGTTGATTACTCATCCGTTAATTCTGCCTTGGAAAAAATGAAGGAACGCATTCAGTCTTTAGAACAAGAGCTAGCCGACGTTAAATTCAAGGTATTGACACACCCTATGACCCCTTGAGATCTTATTGCAACCATAGTTTCTAGTGATGTGAGTACATTATTCAACAGTGCAGCATGGACAATTGGCAACAAATGTCCACTTGTGGCACGCAAGAGAGGTAAGCATGACAACAAGAAAGTAAAGACGTTGTAAGGAAAGGAGATTGGACCGAATATGTACGGCAAAAAATCGCCTATGAGGGCCTCCAACATTTTCTTCAACATTCTCCTCAATTGCACTGATCCTCGAAACTTGTTTAATGTGCAGTCTAAGATGAACGGAGAAAAGAGAAGGCTCAGCGATCTCCGTGCAGCTCATTCACCATTCAAAGCTGCCTTTTCAGGGCCTCAAAACTTATTTTGTGCAACTCCTAGGTGACTAAAGTAGATGGCCGATTTATTAGATGATTAACTGAGTAGAGCATTCGCCAACACATCCAGCTACACCCTTTGAGCAGGGTGACTACCATTACACTGTAAATTTTTCTTGTAGCATACGTGGCATCCACGCTGTATGAAGTATGAAGTGATTCACGCAGTTTATTTTAAATCTAGTAGTAATCTAAGGACTATATGTATCATGACAACCTCCGTGAAAATATTTCTATCAGTGAAATTCGTATCTAATTTCCTTAACGTTGAAAGACGTATTTGTTTGGAATTGAAGTCACAAGTTTTCTGATTTGGTTTCAGAAATGAAATCCAATACCAGAGTCATTAGCTTCAAAAATAAAGCCACAAAATGGCAAAAGACGAGATAGGAATTTTTTTGACTATCTAGTTGTGTGTCAGTAACAGTTCTACTGTTTGACTCAAAGAATACAAACTTGTCAAAAAAAACATGCACACATTTTTCATGTTCTAGCATTAAACATAGAATAAAATTAAAAAATAGATACACTACTACTGTTATTAGTTTTATCAAATTTATTTGTATGTGCACCACATAAAAAGAAACTATTCGAAAAGACAGAGTGATGCTTAATGTAATAGTCTTTGCACAAATGGAAAGTGTAAAATTATAAAAATTAAACATGTGATTATAATTTTAGTATTTCTTATAATATTTATGAGAAAAAATATGACTTTGTTGTATTTAATTGAAATAAATTTTTTAGTATCATATTACGTAATAATTTCTATTATGTCATAAATAATTTTATTTATTTATTTGAAATTACTAATGAAGGAATTTGGATGCATTAGACTTTGATACATCAAAAAGCTATTATAAAAATCTGGATTGGAAAATTCAAATCATGTATCTGTACTAATGAATACAAGAACCAAGTTCAAGAAAGACATGAAGTCTCCATTATGTGATGTTATTTACTACAGATTGTTGGTTGAGAGCTTAATTCATTTAATAATAATATGAGGATATATTGTCTTTATAGTGTATTGTTGATTACAATACATGGATTAGTCATAGGAAGCACATCTCACTACAATAAAACATATTCTAAGATATCTTAAAGGTAAATATTATTATGCCATATTCTTTTGAGCAAATGATAAAGAGAAATTGCATACTTTCACTAATGTAGATTTTGCTTAAGATCCCAACTCTTAAAAATTAATTACATGTAATATACAAAAATTGGAATTTTCTCCAATTCATTGGAATAATAATTTGTAAGAAACAATAGCATTATTTACATCAGAAAGAAAATATAGAGTTTTATCTAAAGCTGCAAGAGAAGTGGTTAATCTTAAAAGATTGCTAAGAGAATTATAAATTCAAAGGAAGGAGCCAACAAAAAAAATCTATAATAACATGAATTGTATCAAATTAGCAAATAATCCAGTTATGCATGCAAGAACGAAACATATTGAATTACAATATCACTATATAAGGGAGAAGATACAAGATAGAAGTATAGAAGTGAACTTTATTCCTAGTGAACATCAGCAAGCAGACATCTTGACAAAACCTCTTAACTGGTTCTATCATCAACAAAATTGAGAAATGGGAAGATTACTACAAATTCCACACAAAAAGAAGCTTAAATGTTGTTTTATAGATAGCAATGAAGACACTAAATTTAAGAAAAAGCCTGAGGTGAAGGAGTTTTGAGATAGGACTATCCTTCAAACAAAGTTTTGAAACTTCTAAACTTAGCATGAAAGAAATGTTTCACCTCAGCTTCACATACTGACCGAGACATATATATTCTTGGATGTCGGCCTTGTCTAACTGCGCAAAATTTCAATGGTTTTAAAATACTTCAAGCAGCTATGGCTTCCATTAGTATTGGAGTGCACAAAAATCCAATGTAGCTCAAAGTCGAAGCTGGACGCGAGTCGTCTTTTCCGGTATCCGGGTTCTCGGTGTGAGTGCCATATGACTTGATTCAATCAGGTGCTTCGTCTTTCCAGGGGAGTGAATGATTTCCCGATCATCTAGGAGATCTAAAATTGATCGCCATGCACGATTTGTTGTCTGATTCATGGACTTTGCCTCCGGATGGTCGACGACGCCATGTGAACCATGTTAAAAATTTCTAACAGATCACTTTCTCTTCCATTTCAGTCAAAAAATATATATACCTCTCCCTTTTACACACGCAGTAATTTTTATATACTCTTGAGTTGAACCTGTAAGGTATCTTAGAATATGTTGCAATGTGAATGCAAGTGCAACAGGAATCGAGACTGGAGATCAGAGAAACGGCCACTGGAGAGTCGGTCGAACACACTCAAACAGACTCACATACGGAGCGGAAGGGGGATGTGATCTATACATGACACCACGATCGTGCAGTTGATCATAGACCCCCCGTCAGTGGGTTCCATAATCGCTACATTCCCTGGCGACCTGGCGACCAATGACACCATCGGTACCGCCCTTTCGTCCACGGTTGTCCTATCGGCTGAACCAGAACCGATGAACGGTTCATTATTGCCCCGAGCGGACAGACCCACAGAGATCGGTACCGATTCAGACCGGATCCCGGTCCTGCATCGATTCTGCTTCAGTGGTATCACAGCATGCTAGGCGATCTGATGGTAGATCGATCGCGGATCTGGAGCGGAGACGTGGTTTCGGGACCACCCTGAAGGCATTGCTGCTAAGGTCATGGAGGCTCCGTGGACAGTCATCGCCGTAGATTCATCGCCGCAGGGAGCTGCTCCGCATCGCGTCCAGAAACAACTGCGATGTTTCTGAAGCAAATGTAAAGCTGTTTCTCCGCAACAAAGGAATCGGTGCCATTCTTGCCGATGAGGCATATGTGAGTCCGTGTCCACATATCTTTGCATATGTTTCCAATTTCCAATGTTCACGTTTCTTTCACTTCAACGAGAAAAACAAGGCTCTTCAACAATAACTTAAAAACTATTAAACATACACTTGTGCGGTCATTGTGTTTTTTTTCATGTTTTTTTTATGATTTTCTTTTTTCAAAGCCACTAACTTGTTTAAGAAATCGTTTTTTTCAAACATATACTCACAAGTTGAATGCCACTATGTCTATCCATTATAGCAACATCAACTACAAACTACAAAACTTGTATAGCTATAATTGTATTGAATATGAAAAAAAAATTGTTATAATTTTTATTTAGAAGTAGAATATTTCTAAATTTAGTTGTGTTGATGTATTCAAGTTGAGAAGTAAAGAAAGTGTAGAGAATGCTATTGAATTTGGATTATTGAATAGACTCCTATAAATATAAAAATAAACTAGTATCCAACTCTACTTAAATTAGGTTTATATTATAGAAGGAATACTTTGGAATTAGAGCCATCTCTTCAAAATATAATAACCATTAATCTTTCAATTGACAAGTTCAAAGGATCTATTCTACCACATAGACATTTTGTCCACATCCAAAGCTTTATTTTTATGTAATTTAAAAAAACTAATTTACACAACTCTTGGAAAATAATGGTAAGTTGTTTGACATGCATAGAAATAAGACATTCAATTATTTTAGAAAAGAAACAATATTTTTGTTGAAAGTACAAAATGCATATAAAACACATGTTTTGGAATGTAAATAGATCACATGCATATGCATCTCTACCATTCTTGTTTTTTTATGATTTTATTTATTTACTAAATAACATGCATCTAATGACTTTGGTATAAAAAACTCCACGTTGCAAAATCTTTTACACAAATATCTAAAGAAGATATATTAATTAATTAAGTATAAATCATAAATTTAAATATGTGTACATATAAATATATATATATATATATATATAGACCAATGAAAGTACATTAAATTAAAATTTTAAAAATAGTAATAATAATAATAAGAAAAATAAATATTTTATATTAATAATTTTTTAATAATCATAAAAATAATATTTTTATATAAAATCTATAATAGATATAGAAGTTTAATATTAAATCTAATTATTATGTATTTACTTCATAAATTAATTTTGTGGTTTATGGATTAAAAATATTTTTTTAAAAAAAATCTTCTCAAATCAAATATAAAATAGTAAAATTATTTTTCTTTTAATAATTAGAAATTTATAATTTATATATAATATTTATATTAAACTTTATATATAAATCATAAACTTCTAATGTATAAACTTTATATTAATGGCCATTTCTTACCTACACTTTTAATAGAATTTTAAGAAGTCATACCTTTATTTATTATCTTTAAATTATTAAATATCACAAAACAGAATTCAATGTGCTCAAAAATATTTTAAAAAATACATAATTAAAAAAAATTAGTATTAGCTTTATAAACAACCAAGATATAGAACTTATCATAAAATTCTTCTAAATAAAAAACAAAGGATATAAGGATGGTACATATATATATATATATATATATATATTGTAACAAGTAAAAAAAAATTGAATACCATAAAGTCTTACAACATATCTAATAAATACATGATTTTATTTAAGCATCTCAAAATACCACTAAAAATTCAAAATATTGAAGTATAAAATGAACATAGAAAATAGAGTATGAAGTATAAATCAACTATTAATAGCTTATAAATTTGTAAGTGTATTTTAAATAAAAAAATCAGGAGGGAAATTTTATATTTAATATATATATATATATATATATATATATATATATAAAATATGCTTCAATAATATTTTTCACTAATCAAATGACTATGGATATACTTAAAAGGTAAAAATATTATTATATAAAAAAATAAAAACCACGATAATTTCTTATAAGAATTAAATCAAAATGTAGCTTATATTTTAAAACATCAAACCCATGTAGCTTAGAAGTATATATATATATATATATATATATATATATATATAACTAATAAAATATAATTTTGAATGTAAAAATAATTAAATAAAAATATGTGTTTGTGTTATAAATTTTAATTGTGGTATGTTTTAACTTATTTTATTCCCCTATTTAAAATTTTGAAGTCACCATTGCTAAAAAAATTCTTGACATTTAATTCATTGCAAAATCTATGATCCACAAAATATATATATATATATATATATATATATATATATATATATTATAAATTACAAATATAATGAAAATTCATATAAACTTGAAGAATCAAAAAACATTAAGAATTGTTTATTTTTTAATAAATCCGTTCTACAAAAAACTATGTTATTATTTGTTTTGAGTGAGAATAAGAGAATATATTTACATTTATATATTTAATTTAATA